GATTTCTCACTTTCTGTCTCTCTGTCTGTCTGGCAAGCACATGCGCCCTATAGCAAAAACCTCTCCAAAAAAGAAAAAAAAAAAAAAAAGGATGAAATTAAAGCAGAAAAGATCCACAGAATCAATAAAATGTATACGAAATGAAAAGGAAATATTACTAAATAATAGAGATATGTAACAGACTACAAAATATATTTGTAACAAAAATCGCAAAAAGCTGGTATGTTGAGTATGTAAAGTAAATTCAAGCAAATTGGTAATAAAATGTAAGACTTCATTTGATAACTGAGTAAAAGAGAAGAACAACTGATTAGAAAAGAATGTAAGTGGAAAAATGTTCTACTCCATTAAGAATCAAAATAGTATACACTAAAAATGTCAGAGGTGACTTTTTTGTTTTTAAAGCCAGGGAGCATGTGTACATGCTTGAAAGAGACAAACAGAGAAAGCATCCTCCAATGGGGCCTGGTCACCCTGCAATCCTTTTACCTGGAATTCTCCAGCCCATCGGTGTCTTATATCTTGGGCACGTGTACACCTGCGTAGCATGTGTGAATGGCTTTATCAAGCAGCCAGGACTGGGACAAAACCCTGGTCAGTCAAGTGAGATCCAGCTTCCTCTGCCTATCTGTGTAATAACTGCTGTGCTATGGGGCCGGTACCTACCTCCTCCATTTTTCTTTCTCAGTTTTTAGATTTATTTTATTTTCACAGCATTTACAGAAGTCTGTAATAGCAAAATGCTGTAAGCAGCCTACATATCCCTCCATCTGCCACTGAGGACTGGCAAAATAATGAATAGTGCATCAATCCTGTGCTACATATCCCTCCATCTGCCACTGAGGACTGCTAAATAATGAATAGTGCATCAATCCTGCAGAGCACTGTATTTTTCATACTCAGCTGACACTTAACATTCACTTCCATCCTGTTCTGTCTTCCCTCCTGGCCATAGGGGTCAGAGAGCAAAAACTACTTTTCTCCAACTCCTTTGCAGTCAGGATACTAGATGAAAATCTGGTTCCTTCAATGAGAAGCATGTAAAGGAGATTCAGAAACTGGAAGTGAGATGGAGGCCTCCCTTTCCATACTGAGCTGCAGGCTCGTTGGCATTTGCAGACAACTCACCATTCCAGTGTCTATTGTCAGTTTTGTCATTATCTAGAAGCACCTGCCCAGAGGCAGCAGCCAGCGACTCGTCTCCAAATCTGGGGCATGGAGGCAGGTTTGAGGCTTGAGCAGTGAAAACAGCAGCAGCCTGCTGACCTCTGGATCACAGGGACATGTCCAAGAGATCAATGTCTAGGAGTGGCTCTGCCTCTGCTTCTTTGACTCAACTCACACCAGAACTTGTGTGCGTGTGTAGTGAAATACACATGACATGATAGTTATCATTTTAACCCGGTAAGTGTACATTTCAGGGGAATTAAACACATTCACACTGTTGTGCAACCATCACTACCATCCACATCCAAAATTCTTCCACCATCCCAAATTGAAGCTCTATACTGAATGAATACTTAGATCTGCCTTTTTTTTTTTTTTTTGGAGAGATTTTCACTGTAGGGCGCGTGCGCTCGCCAGACAGACAGAGAGAGACATAGAGACAGAAAGCGAGAAATTACCCCCCAGGGGGGATGGTCACGCCGCAATCCCTTCTCCTCCATTCTCCTCTCGGGATCTTGGGCACGCACGCACACGCGCCTGGCGTGAGTTTTAAGCCACCGGGTCCGGGACACAAACCGCAGTCGACTACGTGGGAGTCCAGCGACATAGCCATTACGCTAACTGCTGGTTCCCTAGATCTGCCTTTTGAGCAAGTGAGAAAACACCCCTTGGGGAGGAAGACCATGCTGCAATCCCTTCTCCTCCATCCTCTTCTTGGGATTTTGGTCATGCACGCACACATACCCAGCTGGTTTTTTCGGGCGACCAGGTCTGGGACTTGAACTGTGCAGTCAGCAATGTAGGAGCCAACTGCCTAACCTACATGCCATTTGCTGGTACCCAATGCTCAATCTTAACATCTAACTATGGGTTTCAAAAAATGTAAGAACTATCTTACTCCCTGAGCCTGGTCTCCCATCAATTTATGGGTTCTTCCAACTACCTTCTTCCACCATCCAATAAACACTGCTTAATTTATCCAGCTTTTGTTTAAAATATCTAGAATTGTTTTCCATTGCTCACTGATAGTGAGTTATCCCAGTTCACATCAACCAAGGTTGAAGGATGGTAGGGAAAAGTCAAAGCAAAGAAGAGAATGAGGAGATACTAACCCAGATGATAGACTGATCCAAATTAAGCAAAAATGGAATATACAGAAGTGAGAAGTTGAGTAATAACAACCACAAACACTCCTATGGCATTTGCTAAGTTCCAGACACTACTCTAAGTATTGCATATAATCTTCAGAGCAACACTATAAGGTAAGTATTATCACCTCTCTTTTGAGGAAGAAATGGAAGCACAGTGAATACTGAAACCCAGTAACTGCCCATGCTCAGGCAGTCTGCCCTCGCTCAGAGTACCTGCTCCTTACCAGAATGCTCTGCCTAGAAAGGTTAGGACACTAAGAGAAGGAAGGATTCCATGGCCTGCATCAGCTCTCAAAAATGACCAGCAGTTTGAGTCCTGGACCTGGCAACTTGCTTTCCCATTTTCATTTCTCTCTCTCTCCCCCCATTTCTCTCTGTGTGTCTCTCTGGTGAGCACGTGTGCTCTATAGCAAAGCCAAAAAATAACGATAATAAATAAAATTAAGTAATTTAAAAAAATTAGGGCCGGCAGGGGGCATGGCGGTTAAAAGTGCTGGACTCCCACATGGCCAAACATGGTTCAAGTCCTGGACCTGGTGGCTTGCTTTCTCACTTTTTCTCTCTCTCTCTCTGATCAAACTGGAAAATAATAATGATAATAATAAATAAAGTCAAATAAAATAATTCTTTAAAAAACAATAATTAAAAAAATTTATTATCATTTATTTTTTAATTTGACTAAAAAGATAGAGAGAGAGAACGAGAGAAGGGGAAAGTGAGAAAGCAAACCATCAGGTCCAGGACTTGAACTGTGGTTGGCCATGTGAGAGTCCAGGACCTTAAACACCACGCCACCTGCCAGCTCCCATTTTTTAAAATTTGTTATTATCATTTATTTTTAAATTTGACAATAAACAATATTTTTTTAAAAAATGACCTGTTGTTTAGTCCAGGGACTTCTGCCTAGAATAGCATTCAGTAAACACTAGATCAAATACACATTTGATGAACTGAAGGATTTACTGTATCTTTATCTAGTGGAGAAGGCGGATCACCTTGAAAACTGCAGTCCCGTATTCATGGGCGAGACTAGATTCATGAAATTAGGACCATGAGTACGTAACCATTGTGGCCACCTACAGGACCTTGCTAGGTACGAGGATCAGTTCAGGTGAGTGTGACTCGCCATCCCCAGAAGCCTGGTGTCACTTCTCCCCATGCTTCCCAGTCTCCCCTTCTTCCATCGGTTCCTTTTCTCACCCACTGGTTACCTGTGCCAAGTTTAGCAAAGACCTGCATGGACTCATCAAAACGCTTCTGGCAGAAGAGGTTGAAGGCATACAAGTTCTTGATATGATGGATTTGTTGCTGCTTTTCACTGTCAGAATCATCTTTCATTTCCTAATAAGAAAGCAGACTATGTAAGAGCACACTCATTTAGCAAATTTTTTTTTAAGAATTATTTTATTTAAAAAAAATAATTATTTTATTTAACTTTATTTTTTTATTTGACTAGAGAGGGATAGAGTGAGAGCAAGGGGCGGGGGGAAATGAGAAAGAAAGCAAGCTACCAGGTCCAGGACTCGAACCGTAGTTGGTCATGTGGGAGTCCAGCACCCTTAACCACCATGGCACCTGCCAGCCCCATTCAGCAAATATTTATTCAGTACACCCTACATACTAGACTTGACTCTGGGAGCTACAGAGGCAAAGTGCACAGGGCAGCCATGTGGTATCTGCCCTTACCGTCTGGCCATAAGACTGGTACAGATCTATGCTATTTAAATGTAATACAGCAGGGTTCCTGCTAAATGCCTAACGGGTACTCCTGAAAACTGTCAAGGTTGTGAAAAACAAGGAGAGACAAAGAAACTGTCACACCCAGAGACACATGACAACTAAATGCAGTGTGATTTCTGGACTTGATCCCAGAAAAACAAATGAACATTAATGGAAAAACTATCAAATCTGAATACAGTTTAAGAGTTTAGTTTAAAAACAAACAAACAAACAAAATGAAACAGGGTAAGAGTGATGACCAATGCATGTGGGAGAGATACCCAAACTCGTCTGAGTGGTGGGTGCGGGAGGGATTCCAAGGGAGACCTAGACTAAGACATAAAGGATGAGCTGGAATTAGCCAAGCAAGGCCAGGCAGGTGATCAAAGGGAAAGGAAGACAACGGTGTGCTCCCGGCAAAGGAAACCACATGTGTGCAGGCCCCAAAATGACACAGAGATCACGGTGTGCTCAAGGAATGACAGACATTAGACATAGCTGGCACAGTTGGGAAAGGTCATATTCACAGAGAAAGCTAAGTAAATGTAGCTTTTATCAGCTTTGTTTCTTCCTTATAACCTTTTTCTTCTCATATTCCTTTTTTCAAAATTTTTTACAGTTTTAATTTCTTTTAGACATCCAATCACTATACATCATGATAGCTTGTAAAGTGAATTTACCCAGCATGAATATACACTTTGCACCAGTCCAGTTGAAGACACTACACACATTATCATCAACAGATAATTACCCATTACTATATCCTTTTATATCCCTTTAGCTAATCTTTTATCAAATTTAATCTCTGCCTTTAAGATGACTCTCTCTTCTCTTTTCATTTTTCTCTCCCTTTCCTTTCCTCCACTCACTGCCAGCATGTTGCTACACATGATCTACACTCTCCTGTTAGTGCTTCAGTGGCTTCAAAACCTGGCATCAGGGCCAGCTGGTAGCATGGTGGTTAAGGTGGCTGGATCCCACATGGCCAACTATGTGGTTCAGGTCCTGGACCCAACAGGTTTAAAAACATGCCAGGTATATGTGTGTGCATGCCCAGAGTCTCAAGAGGAGAATGGAAAAGAAGGATTTGTGGTGTGGCCATCCCCCCTGGGAGTGATTTCTCATTCCCCATCCTGTTTCTCTCTAGCAAATGCATGCGCCCTGTAGCAAAACTAAAAGAAAAAAATGATAAAACCTGGCATCAGGGCCAGCTGGTAGCATGGTGGTTAAGGTGGCTGGATCTAAACTAAACCAAACCTGGAGCCAGTTTATTCCTTATCCAGCTTATTTTTTAAGCCATACCTTCTGCACAGGCTCCAAATGTGCAAAAATGCACCAAACTGGTTTTCACTTTTTTAACTTCCTCTGATCATCAATACTCTCTGCTTCCTGATCCTAATCTTGCCTTCCTGTTGAGGAAAACATACACTAAATAGTTATATACTATATACCCTTTGTATAAAGTTCAAAAACCATGGGGACAGATGATGGTGCAGTGTAATACAATACTCTGTGAGGCTGACTGATGATGGAAGGCCCCGTTGTGACAGATGAGCAATGCAAAAAAGTGAAATCACTTAATAGATAGACATTTTATGGTAGTGAGACCTTGAATGCAAGTCAGCACTATGCTTATCTTACTAGTCCCGACTAAATAGGAATATCTAAGCCAAAGTCACATACTTTCGAGAACAATGAGGAAGGCAGACTGACACCTAAATCTCATGAATAAAACTTACTGCAAGCTGCAGAGCCAGTTCAAACTGCTTGTCCTGGAGAAGTTGTTGGATCTGGGTTGCCATGGGAACAGGAATGAGCCTCCAAACAAAATGATTGCTGGCCACGTAGATAATGTTTGATCTGGAGGCAGGAACAGGAAGATTAGCAGAAGAGCACAAGCTTTGTAAAGACAGATGGCTTTAAAGCTTTGGGATAATATGGCAGCCGCAACAAAAAGGAAAGTTAGTACGTAGGGTG